GTTAATAATAAAAATCTATAATTCTTTAAACTTATGACGAATAAATTATGATGAATTTCTATAATTATTATACCCTGCTGGCTAGCGAAACCTTGGGTCGGCGTTTACATGTATATGAGTGAATCGCTATGGCAATCTAGTAAGTCGGAGAGAGCAAAAATACGAAGTAATTATTACATAACCACTTAATCTGACGCTAGATTCCATGCGCTTGGAAAATACTTGCATTCTGTCTTTATGTTGACCGTACTCTTCGTACGGGATGGGTAAATTTCATTTTTCACCTTATGTTGAAATTTCATAATGAAATTTTCACTGAAAGATTGAAATTTTGGAAATTTCAGTGAAAATTTTAAAATTTCAAATTTTCAGTGAAAATTTTATAAATTTCCTGAAATATTGACAATTAAATATTTCACCTTGGAAATTTCATTGAAATTTCATGAAAATTACAATTTTGTTTTAAAATTACAAAAATGTTTTTCTAAACGAATTGCATTTTTGTAATGAATTTCATTACAAAATATGCACTTTACTTTTTTGGCATTAGAGATCATTAGAGAAATATTTCCAAATACTATTTTTGGGCTTAACCATTATTTCTTTAAAAATTGGAATCAACACAGAATACAGCTCACAGAATAAACCTTATGAAATGTGAAACACAAAAAATGCACAAAAATAACAAATCTAATAATACATCAACATTTTCAACCTTTGAATAAGAAGACTAAGGAAGGAGCATAATGCTATCCATGTATTCATGCATGGTGGGCGGAAAAAGGATTCTAGAGTGGGGATCCTTGACAGTTCTGTTTGACGATTCATTTGACACATTTGAATTTGATTTGAAATTTTGTGGATTTGTCAGTCTTTACGGAGCTTATTTTATGTTATTTATTATTTATTCTACTACTGATAGTTGTATAAAGGTAGTAAATCTAGATGGAAATTGTGGCAGAACTTAAATTAACAGTGACACTATCGCGATTTGTTGAAAAAGACTCTAAAATAGTTGGTTGTGTAGCGTGCGGTAGATCTCGACAAAAATCGAGTGAAATAACGGAACAACTTTTTGCTAATAAGTGCCTATATAATATACATACGTGTAGTAAACCGATCATTTATGAAATTCACTTAAATTAACTAATTATATATTTTTTCTTGCATTTTTGCTTTTATTTACTACTTGTCAAAGATTATATGTCAAAGAATTTAGATACGTCAATTTGACTTACCTGCTTCAGTAGCGTATCGGATGTTTATGGTTATAAATAATTATTATAACTTATCTATTTTTATTAGAATTTTATATTTTTATAGCAATTTTAATAACTACCAACATTTATTCACAACGTAAAATAAAAAAAAAATATTGAGTCTACCCCACGTCTACCCTACATCATAGTTTTACATTTTTTAAATAAAATTAGAACGGCACTGATAAACCGGAATTTAAGTCGGCCATATTTGAGGCCCATCGCGGTGGACCTAAGATTTTTGATAGGCTCCTTCTTTAGTCTTTTTATTCAAAGTTTTCAACGAAAATCATAACCTCTATCTATCTACATCTACGTTTTTCATTTGTCAATGCCAAGCGCCGCGCCGCGCCGGTCCTCTTCAGACGCGCAAGTAAATCGAGCAAATCAACGATCGATACTTACGTCGATACGGTCGACATACGAACACGATAAAGGAGTTCGCGAGGTTTATAAAAATTTCACTTGAAATTTCACCTGTAAGTTGAAATTTCACGATACAATTCTGAAAATTTCACCTCCATGCTGAAAAATTCGAATTGAAACTTTCACTTGAAATTTCAATGAAATTTCACTTTTTTAAAATATGAAAATTTCACATTGGAAAAGTTGGCGACATGAAAATTTCCTTTGAAATTTTCAAGTGGCACAAGCCTACTGCGTACACACGAAAATCGGCATCCAAGGCCAGAAATGCCAGCCCTAGAGTGAGAATCATCATAGAATTTTATTAGTCTGAGACAGTGTTGTTTTAATTATAAATTGTAATGTTGGTTTTCTTACCCATATTCATGGATAATTGTCTACTGAAATGTAATTAAAGTTGAAGACAAATGCCGAATTGTCTTTGGACAATGAACATAATTGTTCGTAGAATGTGAATAAACTCTTACGTAAGAAAATCAGAATACAGGCCCTGTGTAGAATGGGCTTTAAACTGGGAGTGCGTATTTAATACAGGTTTATTCTGTTTTGTTCTCGGTTTTGTTACAGCAATTGTGAGTGATAAAAACGTAGCGTTGTATTTAGGATTTTTAGTTAGCAGTTGCTAATGAGAGTAACATTTTGTAAAAGTTGTCAGTAAAATTCATTCTATTTTACAATAAGAAGTTGAAACCAGGGTTGGGTAATGGCACGTAGAAAATTAATTTTCTATGTGTTAGAACCGGTTCTGCTTACCAAGTGGAAACCCACTTAAAGCAGAACTCTAGAACTTGGAAAACTTCATTCATTACCTGGAATTAGAATCCTCCAACGGTTTAAGACACTCCAAGAAATTTCTCAGGACTTACGACCGAGAAATGTCAAAGATAAGAAACAACGGCGAATGCAGATTTTGTCGCGAAAATGGGGAAACACCAGAACACCTCATCCCTAAGTGCGCCGACAACCATTTGTGCAATAAACTTTTGCCTTCAAAGCCTTGTCAAAGCCTTGTCAAACAATTTACAAATTTACAATATCCCTGTTCTTAGTTCTTATCAGTGCACATTATAATCAAAAATCTTATTAATATATTTAACGGTAAACCGTTTGCATCCATCATCCTAAAAACGACTATTTTTTTACCGAAACCCACCATGCCGTCGAATACCAAGAAACCAAACCATTATGTATGCGTATACGTATATACATATGTGCGGGCATAATTCAGTGTTTACGCCTTCTTCCTTCTTCGCGTGGAACTATTACACACACGCACGCAACCCCGCCAACCCCGATTTTTCTGCCTTCTTGTGACCGTTAATCGAATAAAAATCGCGCGGACGTATTAGTCCACGACGGTGACGGACCCCGTCCTACGACCGCCGACGCGTAGGTGTGACAAGGCCTTTAGAAGCGTGTCGCCCGCGCCCATACCGCGGCGACGTCGGATTTATTAGGTCCCAATGGACCAGCCTCGGAGTAGTAAAGAATCAAGTTGAAGAAATGATCGAGAAGACCAAGACAGACGATCGAGAAGACCAAGACCGCTAGAGAGCGGGAGTACACTGCATAGTGTATCATCATCATCATCATTTAGCTTATACCATCCACTGCTGAACAAAAGCCTCCCTTAACTCTAGTCATTTCTTTCTATTTTGTGCCACTTGAATCCAGTTTCCAGCCACCCTCTTAATATCATCTGTCCATCGACTAGGAGGTCGTCCTCTGCTTCTATTGGCCTCGTGTCTTGGTCTCCATTCCACAAGTCTCTTTGTCCACCATCCACCTGTCATCCTAGCCACATGTCCTGCCCAATTCCATTTAAGATGTAAGGCAGATATCACCGCATCTCTTACTCCTGTTCGATTTCGTATTGTATGATTGCGTATTTTATCTTTAAGTGTAACTCCCAACATGGACCTTTCCATTTTCCTGTATTCTATGTTGCATGACCTGTATTCTATGTATGTTCTTTTTTGTCAAAGTAAGTGGTTTCAGCTCCATACGTGAGGACAGGCAAGACACACTGGTTAAAGATCTTTCTTCTTAAACATATGGGAAGATCAGATTAACTTAGTACATATAGTGTATGCAGATGACATAGTCATGATCACTCGGGGAAACATGAAGGCACGATGTGTGATATTATCCAAAGAGGATAATGCATTACTGAAAAATGGTGCAGGACTGTCGGCCTGAGCATCAACTCAGACAAAACCGCGGTAGTGTCATTCACCAGAAAGCAAAGTCTGAAAAACTTGAAAAGAATCCATCTAGATGAAACAGAAATACTCCCTCGCAGGAAGTCAAACATCTGGGAATAACCCTGGACTGTAAACTTCTATGGAACAAGCATATTAAGAACATTACCAGCAAAGCCACAAATGTTCTCATGATATGCAGAAGACTGGTGGGAAATAGATGGGGCTGCGCATCTAACATTTGGCGCTGTATGTATAACATTATTAAGAATTTAGATCCATGATTAATGTTGAATGGGAATCTTCCAACGGTTTAATACAAATTAAGGTAATACGCAACGGTGCAAAAATTCTGTAAGTTTTATAAAAATCTTGTGGTAATCACTGGATAATTTATAGATAAAACGTTTTCGTAAAAAGATAGAATTTAGAGATACGACCACAATTTTATAGAATTCCATGTTTAATCTACATATAGTTTATTACTTCATGTTGAATACCTAAAACAAATTCTTGAATATTACGATTGTATTTTAAAAATTATCTAGTTCTGCCGTATTTCGAATTCATACGAATATCAATTAACTGAATCATCAATTACAATTATCGCTTAAACGCATTTACATAATGAGGTGAAACGGAGGGTGAAACCAAAAGACTACATAATCAATGGTTAGCATGTTCTATAGTTTATAGGTTAATGCTGTATTATGTATTACATATTTTAAGTATACTCCATTCATTACCCGAAAATTTACCTTAAAAATATTAACGAAATAGAAAGTTTGAATACTTTCTAAAGATTAGAAAGAAAAGAGTAGAAATTATCGGTTTGGTTTACTGTTAGATGGATACCGAATATGTGGTCGAAACATAAATTTATTGTAAAAATTAAGAATATGTATTAGAAAAAATACTCGTAGGTGTTAATGAAAGTGGCGTCTAACTAGTTTACTTCCAGTATTTAAAGCAGTGTACCTATTGATAGAAAAATAGAAAATTTGTCACTATGAAGTTTTGAACTGTGACAATATATTTGTATATTCAGTGTATGTTTATAAGCTGTAAATGGTTTGAATATTTGATATTAAAGTATTTTTTTGTTTTGTTACAGAGTACAGCAGCATCAGCGATGACGGCCCCGCACGGCATCGGCCGGACCGCCTTAGCGAACCGCTAAGCGCCCCCGGGCCGGGGATGGATCAGCATGGATTCCCCGCAGCCCCCCAGCGCGGCAACCGCCCTCTAGTGCCGATAAGCATTCCCCTACGCGCGGCGGCGCCCGTCTCGCTGTCCGAGCCTCGGCCGGAGGCGGACCGCCGCGACAATGAGTACGTGGAGACACCACTGCGAGGGCCTCAGGCCTCGCCGCCTCTCGCCCTCCTGCCGGCGGTGCACAGGCCGCCCGCGCCGCCGCCGCCCCAGGCTGCGGTGCTCAAGCAACCCCTCTCCTTCAGCAAGACGACCGAGTGCACGGCCGCCCGGCCTTCCATCATGTGCGCCGACTGCGGCCGGTGTCGCTGCGCCACCTGCAGGGCGCCTCGCCCTCTACCAGAGCGCTGGGCGTGCAACGGCGCGTGTCTCTTGTCGCCCGACACCGTGGTGGACTACGTATCGTGCTTGTGCTGCGCCAAGGCCCTGTTCTACCACTGCTCCGAGGCGGACGACGTGGGCAACAGCTGCGCGGACGACCCCTGCGGCTGCGGGCCTGATAGGCGCGCGGCGCGGTGGGGATGTTTGGCCGTGTTGACGTGCGCGCTGCCCTGCCTGTGGCTGTATTGGCCGCTGCGTGGGGCGCAGCGCGCTGTGGAGTTGGTGTACGCGCGCAACTCGCGGCGGGGTTGCCGCTGCCGGCCCAAGGAGCCGCCGCAGCCTACGGATAAGCGGCTCTTGGCGAACGATTAATTTATTTCTAGTGTATATAGAACTGCCGCCGCGCCCCCTGCGGTCACCAGTATTATCTAGTCCAGCGCCGAGAAGCGGCGCGAGAGTGTCTCTCGAGTGTGCCTGGTGCCTACAAATAACACTTGTGTACATTTTTTTCCAGCAAATTTATTTTTTACCGATTTTCTCTAACTTATTTATTATTGTTAAAACTCGATCAGTTTGGAATCTGACACGATTGTTGCATAATCGCCTTGTTTGCTCTTCGCTTTCCTCTCACGTACTACACCAAAATAATCTTAAATGACTTTAGAAAATGTATCTGGAATCATTTTTAATGCTTAAAAATTAACGACCATAATAATATACAAGATGTCTTATAATAAATAAATTTGTATATCTTACGCTGAGTCTATAAATTCGATTATGTAAGTATATCAATTCTGTCAAATTGTCTACACAATCTGTCAAATTCGTGATGTGCTGTATGGTCAAATTAAATAATTCGTAGCGATTATAGAGGGATTATTATTGTATTAAAAAACACGTTAATGATGTTTTAAATAAGTAATATTTTTTAACAAATTTTCAAAAAAGAGAAGTTTGTATAGCTGCTAAATTTTTCTAATTACAATTATTTTTCTAGAAATAGTATATAGAGCATAATTTATTGTTATGTTAAGTACTAAAGTTCTTGACAGTTGATCGTGACTTTATTTTAGAATCTTATAAAATGTTAAAACTGCAATAAAAGTATAAAGATATTAGTAAATACGTGTTATTTATTTCAAAACTCTTTATATTTTTCATATTGTAGTTCTAACGATAGATCCGGCATTTTAGTTGAATGACACTTAAACTTCATTCAGAACCTCGTAATTAGTGGAATAAATAAGTGAATGAATATAAATATTAAAAAGACATCTTGTATATGTAGAAATCGTTCCTCAAATCAATTTCAAAATATTTGAACTTTGAAATAAAAAAATATGAGTGTTTCTCACTTAAGTAGTTTTTATTACATTTTGAGTTTTACTTCCTACAGTGAGATCTATTTGCCACAATAATTAATTGTTTTATCTTCTCCTTACAGACTTGACCTTTCTCTGTTACGCAAATTTAATTAATGATAATAATGCCAAGCACCAACACGGACGATTTTGCAACAATCAGTTTCTGTTTTATTGTTTCTTTTTTTTTATGATACGACATCCAGGCAGTCAGTTAGGTTCAAATTTTCAAATTAACGAACGGAGGTGTATTGAAAATTTACGATTTTTTCTGTTTTTATATAATTTTTATTACAAATTTTTCTTTTTGACCTTTTTTTATATGCGAATGTATACAATTATTTATACAATTTTCAATTTTGTGCAGAGAGTAATTTTATGTAAAGGGGTAAGATACCGGAATATGTATATTTTGAAGTACCATTTTTTCAAATCGACGATAATTTCTATCGGGCCAAACCCTATGTATTATTAAAAAAATACTTGAGAGTGGGAAAATGAAAAATACTTTTTTTACTTTTGACAGAAATTATCACAGATTCGCGTTTCAAAGATCACCGTGACGTCGTTTTTTCCCGAGCATACTAGTATTTTTAATGAAACAAAACATGATAATATTGTATTAAAAGATCTAAAGAATCTTTTAATATACAAATACTTCTAATTTAATAAATGAAGATTTGGAGATACACTGATAATTTTCATGTATTGTAAAGTTCAATATATTTTGTTCTAGAATGACTTTTTAGCCTCTTTTTAGAAATAAAAGTTTATTTGGTATGGCTTATATATATAAATGTATAGAAGTATAAGAAAAAATAAAAAAGTTTTAGATATACAACAAAAAACACAGAGACAGAATTAATTAACACATACATACTAACGAATTATCTTTGTTAGAATCGCTGTTCTATTTATAAATTATCTATACATATATAAAATGCTAATGTTTATCTGTATCGTCTCTACTGAAGTAACGACTTGCTTTAGAAAGTTGCCTTTTTTACTAAAAGATAGTTAATTGGCTCTTCCTAATAACTGTCGTCGCTGGATTTTTTGTTTTTCATTTAATTAAAAAAAATAAGTATTTTTTTCCTATGATGTCGTGGCGGATGCGCCAGGTTTCAACTAGTTATAAAATAAATGTATACTACTTACAATAATAGATGATATATCTCTTCTGGACTTAAAACTATCTTTACTAGAGTAACTGTCAACATACAATAATAAAATAATACTTTTCATTGACAGTGATGTTAGAAAAATAATAGATACTATTTCATAGATGTGTGGATTACAACCAAAACCAAAGGAATGTCTTTGGTACGTTAAAATTGCTGTGAGTCCTTACTGTCTTGTTCAAAAGCAAATATCTCCAACAAAACTAAAACTGTTGAGATGAATCAAAAAATAAAATATCGAAAAAAGATGTACCTTGATGATGAAGTGGTTTATAAATTCGTTACTTTGTTAAACCATCCTACAGGGTGTTTCAAACTTTCACCAAAATAACAACATTTTGTTTTTCTTGGCTTAAAAAAAATCAAAATCGGCTCACTAGAACAAAATACATTGCACTTTAAATTACGTGGAAATTTTAAGGTGTCCATTTTTCGTGTCTGTCAGTGTATTTTTGGGCTATTAAAAACCTTTAATGAAGGGATTGTGGGTTGAATAACCCTGTATTCTGGTATCTTACCTTTGGCAGATGGGTACCTATTTAATGAAATTAAAAAACAAAGATGATATTTTTGTACATAAGTATTATAAAAGGCGGAAACGTTCAGGGTTGTACGACTTATGATAGTTATATAAATATAAATAAATGAAAGAACGCTTTTCTTAGAAATATATTAAATTGTAAGATTTCCATATACACAAACTTCTAAGTATATTATTAATGCGCAAAAGTTAAATGTATCGTTTCAGGCTATTTCTCTAAAATCGATACCTTTTTTAAAATTTTCCGGAACGATCTGGCTAAATTATTACCGGCGGTAAACATAATTGATGAAAGAAATACCGCCGTTAGACGGTTTTACATATTTATTAACGTAAATACCGCCGAAAAACGAGGTAAATGTTGGCGGTTTATGCTAAAAATATAAAAAAATACCGCCGGTCAGCGGTATATTTTTTCAAAAACAGAAATACCGCCTTTATTTTACCAAATTTTAAGTGTTATTCCTTTTTCCAACATAAGTTCCACTATTAACTTTTTGTTGCCAAAGTAAAACTACATTTTATTGCATTCAAACATAAACTTACAGCACGTTTTGATTGCTTTGGTTTCACTCTTTTTTTTTCAGTTTGATTAATGTGTATCTGATTACTTTGAATATTTTGATTTTAAAATTGAATGTTTTACAATTTTTTTATAATAATTATCAAATATCAACCACAGCTCAATCCAAGTCAAAAAATGAAGGGTTATATTATGATTTCGGCGGTATTTGATGTTTAAAATAAAGTATACCGCCGGTTACGGTTAAGTGCATACCGCCGTCAATGACAGATTAATTCAATTTTCCATCGACATTTATAGATATAGAAATATTATACCGCCGGTTGGCGGTATTTTTCTTGTATACACTGACAATACCGCCGGCGGATGTTTAGCCAGTGCGTTTTCTTAAACCTACAAAAGTGTTGCTGCGAGTGTGATGAATGAAAAACAAATATAAATGTATCATTGATGTTTTACTTATGAATTGAATTAATTGTACTCGAAAGTGTGTTATTGTTAAGAAGTTGTATGTATTATTATCGTCGAAGAACATATTATACAAACTGAATTGTTTTAGAGAAGAAGCCTTTGTTTATATAAAAGAAGAAAATAAGAAAATGCCTCCGAATAACCGTTTTTATACAGGGTGTATAATGAACAAACGCGAAAAAATTCCAAAGTTGATTTTTTAAAAAATATTTTTTTTTATATTAAGTTTTTCGATTTGGCGTTTCTCTGCAAAGATTTTTTCATTATATAGGCTGAACCAAAATCACAATATATAGTATACAGTTCTAATGAAATTTAAAATTACTAATAATGGATTTTTCTTTTTTATTGTTGAGCTCTCTGTAGAAAAAATTGTGTAGGGTCAAAACTTTCTAAATTCAAGTGCTTATTGTATTTTTATTATATTTTTCTACGTAATTTCTGACAAATTTTGACAAAACAAAGTACGTTTTGGATAATTTCTGGGTTCTTGTGATGAATAGGTCTTTTTTGTGCAAGGTTGTCTTAAATTGAATATTTTTAACCAAATAAATTGGTTTGGTTTGGTTAGGTTTATGACATTCACACACCAAATGTCAAATTTTTAGTGTGTATTGTTGAATAAAATATTGTGATTTGGGTCTACCTGTTCAAGCAAATAATTTCGTAGGGAAACTGACAAATCTCATTTTTTTTAAATCTCTAATTGTTTCGCGTTTGTTCTTGTACACCCTGTATATTTGTATAATTTTTGAGAAACTAACATAGAAGGCGGGGCATAATCGACTGAATGTTTTAAAGCCAAATTTCAAATACAAGTTAATGTTTAATTATTAACAACTAATAAAAATATATATTATACATATATTTTCCGAGAAAAAAAAATGAATATTCATCTTTTGGTGCTTCCTGTTGTATTTTTATATGTATAAGCGAACTTAAAAAAAATTGTACACCTCTTTCTAATCTAATCAATTAATGTCACTAGTATCGAAGAGGTCGTGTTAAATTTTTTGTTTATTTATGTTGTGCCGGTTTTTTAGACCGCTGTGCGTAGACGTAAAAAAATGTAGATCAAAATAAAAAAAATCACATTTTTGAAGTATATAGTATCGAAAAAAAATGGCGTCAAGTTACCTTTAAAATGACGAACGATGATGTATAATTTTCTAACTGAAAAATTAATAAGGAATTTACGAGGGGTGTCTCACTATTGGAATTACCTGAACATTTTCTTGGCAGTCGCTGGCAGTCATTGGCAGTCTTACAGCAGTCGCCTATAATAATTACATGGCAGTCATAAGCACTCTTCTTCGTAGTCATTGGCAGTCGCTTGGCAGTAAAATGATATTTTGGCAGTACATGTACATTTTTCACCCAAGTGAGACACCCCTCGGGATGAACTCGTCTGGAACTACCGTACGATCGAAAAGAAAACGGCGTTAAAGACGGCTGATAATTTTGGCTAAAAATTGACATAAAACTTGCCAAAAATTAACTCTAATTATATGTAGGTTAAAAGAAGGATAGAAAGACACAAATCTATTTCCAAAAAAAAAAATTCTCGAATTTTAAACTAACTACACCATTTAAAAATAATTTTTACTGAATATAAAAATAATTACAACCTTTTTAAGGCCAACTGTCAATAAGTGGCATTAAAAAATAAAGGGGAGTACGGGCCAAGCAAATATCGTCTAGGGCTTGACCTCGTCAAAATTACTATCGATTGTCATTCCCTAGCCTTCTGTGACGCCGTTTTTTTTATCGTATGGTATTATTATGTATGTATGCTTGAATGAACTAAAAATGTTTTAAATTTAAAGATAATATCGAGCAATTTTTTGCTTTTGTTTAGTTAAATTTGACAACGTTGATTTTTTGCTTCAAAGATCTTTTTGAAGCAAGAATTACTTTTTGCTGCTTCAGATCCGTTTATCATACAGGGTGAGTTTTTGTATAAATGCAAATATTTTTAGAGGTAGTATATTTCGGCCCCAGAAACACGTCTATGAGCGAAAAAAAATTGGAAAATTTAGAATTTTTGAAAATAATAACATCAGTATCTTCATAACATATGTAGTAGATAAAATTTACAAGAAAGAAAATCCAGAAAAAAACAGTGGTTCTCAAAATTTAAGCGAAAATTCGATTTTTTTTTGAATTTTCAAAGTATTTCTCGGTTATTTTGGACTTATTTGAAAAACGGTAAAGAGAAAATATGTTTCTTTTGTGGAAATCTACATACCAACCCTGAAAATATTTGCACTTATTTAAGACTCACCCTCTATAATGCCGATAAATTTATTACAAATATTTTTGGTAGAAAATCTGTAAAATTTTGTCAAAAAACTTAAGTTACCTTTTTTTAATGAAATTTCAAGGAATCCAATGATATTTAACATCCTGTATAATCGAAGATAGATTTTCTTGAGGCGCTGTTTGATAATTTATAACCTTTTTTCTGGGTAATAGACATCTGGCTACATGTCTTCATTTTTTGCTTAAAATTATTATATTCTTTTACTACATTTTTTTACGGCTATGTTCTCCCTTATTCTTTTCTGTATTAAGAAAATAAAACGTTTTATGTTTTAGCTTCATACGATATTGTGTTCATCAAAAAAGACTTCACATAAATGTACAAAACAATGAGTAGGATAAAAACGATTTTGTAACGGTGGTAAAATTTTAAACATTATTTTTGTAAGGCCTGTATAGTAAGAGCTGTTCAGAATTCAATATCTAAAGCTGGTATTTTCGAGATTGTGTTGGGTTTTGTCAAAAGTACAAAAATAGTACTGTTATAATATTTCCAAAGTCAATTGGAAACACTGGGATATTTAGTCCAAACCGATTCCAATTGACTTCGGAAAAACTATACTAATAATGATGTCGTATTTAGGAGAATTTTTCAGCCAATTTCACATCCATACTACATTTCCATAAAGAAATAATATTACCTACCTACATTGCTTAGCAATATTTTTGTAAACTATGTTTAAATGGATTATAATATAATATATAAACAAATATTTAATGTAGAATATATTTATTTTCGAAAAAAATGTAAAAATTAACAAAAAAATCGGCACAAATGAGGAAATAGTACCTAATTTAATTAGGCTTGTTTTTCTTTTTTATCTTCGGAACAGAAAACGCACTTTTTTATTCCTGTGGGTTTTGCTTCCAGACTGACCGGTTAGATTTTTGGTTTTCGTGTGTTTGCATCAAATGCTGATTAGAAAATCATATTAGTTTATTATTAGAGGGTTTAGTTTGTGTTAAAACAGCTATTTGATATTCCTAGTTTCCGCAATTTTGTTTAAAAAAGTAAGAAACTAAAATTTGGTTTCAAAAATGGGAAAAATTTAAGGTCTTAATGCTTAGAAATATGTTTAGAAATACTAATGATGACATTTTTTAACTCCAGATTTTAGTTTCTATTAATTTAAACATATTTTATGACTACAAGCTTAAATTTTTATTTTATTGATTTTTATGCCATTTTTTTATACTTATTAGTATTAAAGAAAGCTCTCTTGCTCTTAATAAACTGTAAAGCACGCAACAATTTCAAAGAAGTTGATTTCTTTGAAGATCTGTTGCGTATTTTTTTATGTTACTTTTGAAAAATCGGTTATTCTGAAGCAAAACCCATCTTTTTATATGCAGAAGTGGAGGGTAGTACTCTCACTATAAGTGCCAACAGATGGCATTAAGTGTATAGCAATTGTATACATGTATATAATAAAATTGTAATTTTATTGTAATGTTAATAATAACGATGATCAACCTATTTATTGTGGTTTTATTTATATCCTTACATGTTGTGAAAACTAGAAAAAGTATATCATAGTCTACAGTGTTGTGACAAAAAATATGAAATGAGAAAATAGAAATATAAAATGAGAAAATAAAAATATGAAATGAGAAAATAAAAATATGAAATGAGAAAATAAAAATATAATGAAGGAATGAAAAAAAAAGGTTACAGTTTTTTTTATTAAAAGAGCCTAGAATATTTTTGGAAACAGATATGATTTACAAATATATGTTACTAAAAATAAATGGAATGACAATCGGCGATAATTTGCGAGGTCGGTCTCTAGACCGACTAAAAATTGACATAAAATTTGTCAAAAATTAACACTAATCACAGAAAGATTAAAAAAGGATAGAAAGTTTCCAGACAAAACATCTATTTCCAAAAAAAAATTTTTTTCGAATTTTAAACTACCCCATTTAAAAATAATTTTTACTTAATATAAAAATAAATTACAACTTTTTTAAGACCACCTTTGTGACTTCTTCCAAACCGGTGTTAATGCGCAGGTCTGAAATAATGCAATTTCTTGTCGATTTCAAACTGTCTGTGCGAACAACGAATTCCCTACTCTGCTTTTTTGATCTAATAATACCACTAATTTTAACTCCTACGTAATACCGAATAAAGAAGAAACGAACAGGGAATTAACCAAAGACATCTTTTAATGTTTTTGGTTTTGTTCGTTTTAATGTTTTAATGTTTTCTAATTTTGATTCTTGGGCCTGACCCGTTCCTCCATCAGCTCTTCTAGGTCTGTGTCTGTATCCGAAAATTCGGACGCCTCAGATTCTTCGGAAGATTCAAAATCGCTCATTTCTTTTCTTTATTTTTTGAAGAAAAAAACACTAAACAAAAACAACACACGTTTTGTATGTTAAGTTTACCAATTAATGACGTCGGGTTGCAATACGCATGCGCCGGACACTTTACTTGCGAAAGATCCGCGAACAGGTCTGACTGTCAGCTAACAATCAGAATTTTCTGTTCGAACAGCGTACTGTTGGTTGGAAACCAATCAAAAATTTCTGTGCGAACGCGTTTTACCCTATTGCGCATGATTATCTGTTAGAAATATGTTTCTTACAGCTGTGAGAACAAACCTAAAGACGCCTAGGGCCAACCAAACTAAAATTAACATCGATTGTCATTCCGAGCCGTCTTTGACGTCTAAAATTTAAGTGAACAAAAATAAATCACTAGTCTCCAAAATGCAAACGCGCAAAAGCGAAATCGCATATAAATATACCGCATAAAACAAGGTACTCCTGGCCTGTACATACTTGATGTTAAAAGAAGGGAAGTCAGTGAAGATATCGATAGACTACATCCAAAAAATTAAGACAGAAATTAAAAATTTAAAAATACCAATCATTCGAATCCAGGAATTTTTTTGGACATGCCTACATATATAATTCAATTTGTTCAATTTGGCTTATACAGGGTCCTGCAAAAGTGCGTCGGGCATCTGTAGCTCCTAGAATAAAGAAACTTGGGAATTTTGTTTAAGTGAAGATCTAATATATGTACGAGGATGTATTCCAGGAAAATATTTTAACTTCTATAGGGTGGCTCTAAAAAGCGTGAGTGGATCGGGATGATTTTTTTTAATGGAACACTCTGTATATTTGCATTTTTATCTTCCTTTCAGATCACTTAACATAATCCTAAGATATGAGTAAACAGGTATATTTCGGTAATTTCAGAGGAATTAATAAATAAATAAAAAATATATACATGGTGTCCCAGAAATAAGTACAGATATTTTGGCTGGTAGTATATTTCGACCGTAGAAACACGCCTAAAGCTTGATTTTCATGCATCCGTTGTCGGACGATACGATGATACGATATTAATTTTATTGGTTGAATTTAAAGGCTTCGATTGGTTAACCGTTTCTAACCAATCAAAGTCTTTAAATTCAACCAATAAAATTAATATCCTATCATTGTATCGTCGGACAACGGATACATGAAAATCGAGCTTAAGTATGAGAAAAAAAATAGAATTTTTTGAAAAAAAAATTAGATTTTTTTTTGTTTTTAGTTAAAGAACATTATTTCTTGACAATATGGCAATATACATAGGTGGTAGACTAAATTTACAAGAAAGAAAACCCAGAACAGATCCAGCGGTTCTCAAAATTTAAACAAAAAAATGATTTTTTTTTGGAAATTTTCAAAGTAAAATAACTCGGTTATTTTGGACTTTTTTGAAAAACGGTTAAGATAAAGTATATTTCTTTTATCGAGATCTGTGACCCCTTAAAATATCTGTACTTATTTCTGGGACACCCTCTATTTAAGACAATACAAATACAAGAACTGTCCTGAAATCAAATTAAAAATTTTGAAATACTCTAAATACAAAAAATGTCAATTCTCCATCTATTGAAGAAATAATATACCATTTAAAAAAACGAAGAAAAATTATTTTATATTTTAGAAAGTTTGGCGTAAAATTTTCCACATCCTGTATG